CCCCAAAACAGATAATATGCTTGTTCGTTTCGGAAAATGGGGAATGTTTTATCGTAATGTCTAAATGAATGGTATCATAAAAAGGGATGGTACTTTGGAAGGTGGCGGAGTGGGGGAGGGTACAGCCGCTGTATTTCCCACACTACATTACCCAAACCCACGGCTTACAATTCCCATTGCAGGCTCGCACGGAGTTCTACCTGAAATAATGTTGACAGTTGATAAGTATTCGAGAAAATATTTGTGTGGTTTGAGCTTCAAAGGGCGGCGACTGTGAAGATTTCTGTCTTCGGGGGAACTAATATCGTGTAGTCTGGTACATAGTTACAAAATATTTCAAGCGGCCTCCGTAGTCTAGCGGTAACGTTCCCACCTCATGACTCTTGGTACCTGGGTTCAAATACCCGGCGGAGGTCGTCGAATTTTTAAGGGCGGAAAAATTCAGGGAACAAGTCCTCCGGGAGGGACTTTAAGCTGTGTGTCCCGTGTCGTAACTTTACGGCACGTAAAAGAACCTCATCCCCAAAGGGGATCACTGAGCCAAATTCCAGGACGTTTCACGCCCAACAATAGTCTCTAAGGCCTCCGATAGATGGGGGAAGCATTATAGACACCACTAAGCAAGTGGCCGAACTCGCTTGCTCAGCGGGACTGATGGTACGCACCATTTATCGGTAGGGTATAGAGACGGGTAGAATATCATAGAGGGAAGCACAATAGATCAAACTGGTCGCGGTGCATGGGGAAACCCACCCTCTCTAAATAACTGACTAACTACAGAATATTTCGGAGGAATCTGATAACTCCATCTTCAGGATACTCATAATCACCTTAGCAAGAACCTCAAATATCGAAACGGAAATTTCTGTCCTCTAAGATGTAACCTCCTGTAGACTGGTAGATAATTTCCAACATTCGCAATAATCTGCTGCCCCCATTTTCAAGGTATCGATAGCAAGAGCAGTGATAATCCCCTATCTCGTTATTGAATGAAACGCCGTGTAGTCTGGTCGAGAGTTACCAACATTTCGGAGGAACCTACAGCGCAACAAACCATAAATAAATTAGTGTAATTGTTTTATGGATTATTTTGTGACACTTTCAGTATTGTAGGACAGAATGGTAGCATAACTGATGAATGAATAATTGGCAAGAAACCCAAACTATTATCAGTCAGAGTAACTGGAGTCACGGCCGGGATTCGAATACAGAACCTGTCGAATTCGGGTTTACAGAAGCAGAGTCGCACAAGCCCTATCGGAAATACCACAACATAAAATAATTCACTCGGAAGGGGCCCATAATTTAGAATTATAAATCAAGCAACAATTTACGAGATAAAAACTAAACCTGGAAACATTATGCATTTTGGAACACTGATCCGGCGCCTATGTGCCCGGTTCGCACCATTTCCTTCACTCCGTGATCTCTCCTGCCATTCTGGTTGCAGCATTTACAAACACGGAACGTCCTACCGACCTATGTTTCCAGGCGGAGGGAAAACAACAGCTTCGTTAACCAATCATCTCCACATCTGCAGAGGTATGTTTGCGCCAAGTTTCGTTTTCATCGGTAAATTACTGCGTCGTTTAAAATTACTAAACTTTTAAAACGGAGTCAAAGCCAAAGTCACATTACGACCGACGGACATTCGACCAGTCAGTCTCGGTATCAAACCCCATCTGGGCACCAAGATCAAATTTTTGTTTCAAAAGTGAATTTATTCTAAATGATATATTTGATTCGTACCTCACAGGGAACACATTTCGTCTCCGCTACAAAGCCCAACCGGTTAATGCTGTTTAGGGAAACAGCCGCTGTTTACTGTGGGAACCATAAGGAACACATATACACTGTGTGGGCAGAATATATAGCAATTCAGTTCGTACCTCACAGGAAACACGTTACGTCTCCGCTACAAAGCCCAACCGGTTAATGCTGTTTAGGGAAACAGCCGCTGTTTACTGTGAGAACCATAAGGAACACATATACACTGTGTGGGCAGAATATATAGCAATTCAGTTCGTACCTCACAGGAAACACGTTACGTCTCCGCTACAAAGCCCAACCGGTTAATGCTGTTTAGGGAAACAGCCGCTGTTTACTGTGAGAACCATACGGAACACACAGATACACTGTGTGGGCAGAATATATAGCAATTCAGTTCCTACCTCACAGGAAACACATTACGTCTCCGCTACAAAGCCCAACCGGTTAATGCTGTTTAGGGAAACAGTCGCTGTTTAATGTGAGAACCATGCGGAACACACAAATACGCTGGGTGGGCAGAATATATAGCAATTCAGTCCGTACCTCACAGGAAACACATTAAGTCTCCGCTACAGAGCCCAACCGGTTAATGTTGTTTAGGGAAATAGTCGCTGTTTATTGCGAGAACCATACGGAACACACAGATACACTGCGTGGGAAGAATATATAGCAATTCAATCTGTAACCTAGGAGTGAATGTTGTTTCGGGTTCGTTTCCCAGCAACGGGTCTACACGCTATATTACAGAAACCACTGGAATTTAAAAGGTTAATCTGGGTCTCGTCTCTATGAATCACCCGGTATCAACAGGATCAATACCATAATGCCACAAATGTTAGTAGGAGACTGGGTCTGCCGTCTAGGTACGAGACTGAAGTAATATTTGTCTGGCACTGACCACATTAGGAAGCTCAATGGCCGTTCATAATGCAACAATGACAGGTCTACCAATCATTTGCTCCAGTTCCATTTTTGTTCATTGTTTTCAGAACATGTGTTCTTCAAGGCATCCATTCCCTCGCTCAGAGACTTCGGAAACAAAAGAACACTGCCGTCTGGAGTATGATGTGGTCTGGTTTGGTCGAAGTTTACCGACGTTTCGGTAAACAACCAAGCAAACAATCAGCAAGAGGCAGGCAGCAAAGAGAGAGTTCTGCTTGCTTCTTTCTAGTCGCTTGATTAGTTTATCCATCGACACTGAAGATAGAGACTGTACGTCCCTCTGAAACGTCGGTAAATTTCTACCAAGATACACGACGTCAAATCTCAGAAAATGGTACTTTTCAAGTGGAACAAGTTAGTTTGCCTGTGCCGCGAAATGGAAGAAAATCGGGAAGAGAAAGGAGGGAGGGAAGTGGTGGGATGGAAGAGGGGAATAAAGAAGAGGGGGAAGTGGAAGTGAAGGAGAGTAGGAAATGCAAAACAAACGAGCTTGGTCAAGACCTGTGACTTTAACAATCCAGATCTATTTGGTCTCAGGCACTCTGAATTGGAGAATTTCAATTCTTCTTTTTGGAATATACACTTAACTCAAATTTCATCGTGCATCACAATAATTTCCGAAATTCAGGTTTATCAAATAATTTTCATGAAACATCTGGGCAAATTCTCATATGTACTTCTTTTGGTTTGTTTTGGACTTCATCCAACGCCTGGTATGTAGAAGACAAAAGACCACGACGTTTCGGAGACTGGATCTGTCTGACCTAGTCTCAATCACTGGATTGTAATTGAGTGATTGAGACTAGCTCTTTCTAACGGGCCCAACTGAGTAGGTTTATCCTTCCCTGCCCACCTGAAGACGGAGACAGAACCAGTCTCCGAAACGTCGTGGTCTTTTGTCTTTTACATACCAGACGATGGATGAAGTCCAAACCAAGCCAAAAGAAGTACAGTATACACCACTGTCAGAATCCTTTCAAGTCTATCCAAATTCTCAAATGTTTTACAAACTGCGCCAGTGAAACACTTACAGCAACAGCAATACAAACTGAATCTCGATGGCTAATTTACACAAGATTATGGAATCGCATAGTCAAGCGATTCTACACAATTAAACTTATCAGTACTGCCAACTGCTGAACTGTAACTTCACTCCAATTTTATGTCGGCCTTCGCGTGCCGAGGATAACTGGTGGTGATACTGAATTACTCACTGACAGAAAGAAAACTTCTGTGAGCCAATCTGAGTTATATCCGCCTGTTTCTTGGAAAGAGTAAAGTACTTACTAACCGAGATCGGAAGCATATTCATCAAAGTATAAATTTAAAATTTAAAAACAATGAAATACAAATTTAGTATTCAATTCATAGTGCTAAAACCGACAAGAATTTCAGAAAAAGCAATAAAGGATATTGGGCGTCGGATAATTCTATTTATTCTACAAAATTTTATGCCTTTCGTGCAAAAATTTATGGGAGAAAAATGCAGTGTATCTCTGAATTTCCCACCAAGAAGCATACGAATAACGGAAGTCTGTTGATAACAGAGTTTAGTAACATTCTGGTAATGACGTAACGGTCTACGTCACTGACTGCCGATGATGTAAGCTCGTTCACACAGTGGAAGGAGTGCAGTAGCAACAGCACTATCGATCCGAAATCATTTTCGTGAGATACAGCTACAATCGATACTTGTGGATAATTCAGCGATTCCTCTTTCCTTCTGACCACGTGATGTGGGGGGAATATCGTGTGTGGCTCTCCGACGTCCTGTTCTAACGGCGTGGACACAGAGATTAGTATTTCCAAGGCTCTTACATCACCTCACAAAGCAGGGAAGCTACACAGATATTTCTGAAATTTGTTCCTTCAATTCATGGATTCTTTTGACTAAAAAAAAGTATCTCTGGCTACGTTCAATTGTGGAATTTTGTGAAAAAGCTAGCGAAATTTTATGTTTAATAAAATCATATATTTTTTGATGGCGTATATAAATTAATTTTTCAAGAAATACAAAGTAACATGGGGTCTTTGTGAGACAACATTTTAGTCACGTGATTTCTGTTTATTTAACGACGCTATAAATAAATTAAATTGAACACTAATTTGGAAAGGACGTCGCATAGAGCAGTTGTGACCTGATGAGAATTACCGTGTGACATTTTCTCGCAATGGCAGAGGAATACCAAGAACATGTCTCAGGATAATTGGCGTAGCGACGAAATTCAAACTGGGTACTTCCGAAATAATAATAAAGGGTTAGTGACTGAGCCACATTGCTCGGAAAGTTAGTGGCATATTTGATAATATTATATTGTAGCATTCTGCTGCACTTCATTTATTATCAGATGGTTTCACAGTCTCACGTGCAACATGTGTTTATATAAAACTTGCTAGAAGTTATTCACTTCAAACGTTTTACACATCGTATAGATTTTAACTTAATAAAAGTTATTCAATACATGTTTCGATGTATAAGGTCATAATCAGATGTTTTAAAATTATAAATTAAAAATGAGGAAGCTGCTGTGCTTCCGTATAACTTTTAGTAAGTGTTATGGATAGACGTACTGCACGTGAGACTGTGAAATTATGTGATACGTATTTAATACTTCAAAGCCTAGTGGTCATTATTAATACCACCTGCGTGAACATACTAAAACTCTGCATTCTCCCCACAGAGTGTATCTGTGTGTTCCGTATGGCTCTCACAATAAACAGTGACTGTTTCACCAAACAACATTCACCGGTTGGTCTTCGTTATGAAGACGTAATGTGTTTCCTGTGAGGTATGGACTGAATTGCTATATATTCTGCCCACACAGTGCATCTGTGTGTTCCGTATGGTTCTCACAATAAACAGCAACTGTTTCCCTAAACAGCATTAACCGGTTGGGCTTTGTAGCGGAAACGTAATGTGTTTCCTGTGAGGTACGGACAGAATTGCTATATATTCTGCCCACAGTGTATCTGTGTGTTCCCTACGGTTCTAACAATAAACAGCGACTGTTTCCCTAAACAGCATCAACCGGGTGGGCTTTGTAGCGGAGACATAATATGTTTCCTGTAAGGAACGAACTGAATTATTATATATTATTTAAATGGAAATCATTGTTCAAAGGGTTAATTATGTTACTGAACAAGGATATACACAAGAATAAAAGAAAATTTATTTGAAAATTAAATGGAGTCGGCAATATGCTCTTGGTAGGAAGAATGTCTCTTGACTTCGTCGATAATTATGCGTTCGTGCCGTAACAACAGATGAATAGTTACCATGACAACCACCGCATGGTAGAGGTTGTGTTTATGCTACTTTAAGACAAAGCGAATTCTCAGTGACTGACTGAATGTTGGAAGAGAGAAGAAACGAAGATAGATACAGAGCAGCAGAGATACGAAATTATTATTACATTGATCTTCAATGACTATGCTCATATTACGTTAAGAATTTTGTATTTTACAATAAAAATTAAATTTATTTTTACAACAATATAGTAATCTTAAAAGAATTGGTTATAAAACAATGCACATAATTTATTATATCCGATTGACCTTGACTGCGCTCTCTTGGTTTTCCTCCGTCTTCAAGCGAACATTGTGATTATCCCCAAGTTCATGTCGGTATTGCGTCCTTCTCATGCAGTCCGATTTAAGTAAAATGAAGTAAATCTACGTGTAGCAAAGGCCAAACGGGGTATGCGGTAGGGTAGTTGGTTGAGGCACTAATGTTACAAGCCGGAAAGCCTTGGATTCGATTCCTGATGCGGTTATTGGATTTTTCAGTTGGCCTAACGTTTCCAGTCGCATTATGACTCTGCGGTTGACTTATTCTTCAACAGAAATGAGTACCAAGAAATTTCCTGGGTGTAAAGGGCGACTGGCGCGTAAGGCTGGAAAACTCGCCGTCATTTGTGAGCCGATTGTCTAAAGAAAATGCGAGAGTCTCGACGTCTCACAACCCTATGAACCTCCACCGCAAAGTCAAAATTATATGTACAGCCGACATTAATTCATAAAACCATAACCTCGCAGTCCCTGTCTCAAGCCACTGCTTATAACCATTCTAATATCTTCAATTTCACGCTGAAAGATAAGCGAGCAGAGCCTGGGAACCTTTTAACAAAATGGTACACTTCTTTCCCTCCCATCCCTGAACCAAGCTGTCCCTCACTTCAACCTCGACTATTCCTTTCTACCTTCTCTTCTACTCGTCTTAGTGCGATTTGGCCGCGCCATAGCTCAAGCGGTTAGTCGCTGGCTTCCCACAGCGGCGGCCCGGGTTCGATCCCGGGTTTGATCAAGTGGGATTTGTGGAGGACAAAGTGGCGCTGGGGCAGGTTTTCTCTGAGTACTTCGGTTTCCCCTGTCACTCTTCATTCCACCAATTGCCCCACAATCACCCTCACCTATCATCTGGGGCTGGTACAATAGGCCAGAAGTGGCCGCAGTGCAAGGGACTTAGTCCCACCCCACTAGCAATAAACAAAAACCTTCATGCGAGAATTACAAGAGCGTCTACATAAGACTCAAGTGCGACTTGAAGTATTTCTCCATTTTTTTAACGAATATTTTGTGAAAATAATTTTGTATCCACTTGTACAACGTTAATATTGTAAAGTTAATAATTTTGAAGCATCGAAATGGACTGTACAACGAAGAGAAAACAACGTATGTAAAATGGTAAACAAAATGTTTGGAAAAAATATGTATCCAAGTGGAATATTTCTCTGAAATCTTACTGACTCCTTATATTGTCACGTGTCTTAGTGAATAAGACGAGGTCTTTCCTTCGCTTTACTGGATAACTACCAGTCGTAACTACAAACAATCTTAACACTCCAAATTATTTCTGTAAAAATAACAAATAAATTAAAGTATTGGACACTTCAATTCTAATCTTCGTTGATAGCCTCCGGAACTCTGCTGTTGGATTCTGTCTGTCAGTCCGTTATCTTCACTGTTCTTATAATCTTCTCTTGAACCTTGCAGAAGTCTCAACTGCACTGCACTCAGCACTAGTCTCTCAACTGCCTTGAACTGTTTTCTTAACCCAACTTCCTCTTTCGTCGCCTTCTACGACCCGCAGGGTAGCGGTGTAGGTAAACTTCGTTATATAGCGTC